GTAGTTACAAAGTTTTAACATCAAAAGGTCAAATCCTTTGGTCAAATCTGAAAGAGAAGAATAATAAATCTTATTTTGGAGAAATTCAAAAGATTAAGGTAGAAATGCAATTGATGGGTACTTGTGTGTGTGTAATGGGCACGTTTCCACTCGGAAACAAAAAAGATGGAAGGTGCTGTAAGGTTGCATCGTTTCGAAAAGGCAACTTTTTTGCATATTTAAAGTTACAAATCCATCGAATCCACCTGGCATCATGTGAAGAGTAGTATGTCAACATCTGGCCGTACTAAAAGTCATCTCCCAGGGAATCTTGCCAGATATATTTTCCACAAATCGTGCACAGCGAAGAAGCTTGATAAGGCGGCCGAATTTTATCGAATAGCTGCGATTATGTAAGTACGACCCTATGAAGCCAGCTGAGCAACGGGACCTGGAGGAACCTTAAATTTTTCTATTACAAATTATAAAGTATATCTAGTTATACTTTATTTTTGGTTTGCGTCTCTGTTCACTTCCTCGTAGTGCAACCTGGGTAACGCTAAGAACAGAATAAACAATAGTTATTATATTGTATTATATTTATACTTATTCTTATTTTTATAGCTGATGTTTATATTTGACCTACACCTTTCTGCATATCTAATGCGACATTTGGAAAATCTAATTTCTACACAAAATTCTTATTTGGGCGATTTTACATCGATAAAAGCAAGATTAACGATTTTTAAGCAACATGTATATTGTAAAATTATACCAAGATGAGTTTATGGAAAAGTTGAACTTGTTCATTCATAAGTAGATAGTTATTATTATTTTTATAATTTGTTATACCGATGTAATAGCTCAACTCCTCCATAATTTATGTGGTGCTTAAAAATATTGAAATTTTCATTAGTTTTATGTTTACGAATTATAGTTTCCAGCCTCTTCCACATTTATCCTATAGCAACAAACTTGTATCCGTAATTTTCTATCAACTTTCTTAGATGATATCTTTCTTATCATTAGAGATAGCGAAAAACTAAATGCGCCATTTAAAAGCTTGATTCTTTCTCTATCTAAAACCGGTCTTTGTCTGTCGATAAGTTAATACTAAGATCAATCTGTACTTAAAGTACAAAGTGGTGGCTCTGTAGTTAGATTAAATCGCTTAAAATTACCAAACTTCAAGCCTTTGTGCAATTGTTATCAAGCCGAATTTTAAAAAACTATTATCACACTCAGAAAGAGCGCTCTTTAAATTATCTTAATTCGGGTTTTCGTTGGTAAATATCTATCGGCGTCATGCTTAAATCGCCCTTAATATACATCCCTACNTTTTATCATTAACGCCTCTTTTGACTCATTTCCTATCGATTAAAAAAAAAATCATCGATTTTTAAGAGAGACTCCTAATCTTGAATTATTCCCAACGTGAGATATTTTTGTGTCCGGATATTTTTGTTGGGATTTTTGTATAACTACACGAAACCATAATTCACTAGTACCATAGCACAGTACTAAATAAATTCTCTCTTTCACGGTTAACATCGTATAAAAAGACTTAGGGCCAAATTCATAAATGTCACTAAAGTGACACTCACCCTAAACTCACACTAAGTTGAGGTTAGGCACTAATTTTGGTATTCAAGAACAGTTAGGGACTAACTTTTTTCTAACTATAGGTTAAAGATTTAGGGAAAAGTGAGTAAAATTTGAGTGCGCAATCGCGAGCACTAATCTAACCCTGTCATTTTGCTGTTGTCTTAATTCGTTTTTTATAGATTTGCTATCATAAATTCCGAAGAAAGCAGTTGTGATTACTCGCGTTTATTAGACTATCATTAATAGTTGTGTTGTTTTTATAAATTTGATTGTTAGTTATTAGTTACGATTATTATAGTTTTGATTATTACCTTTGATTATATATAATATTGATTGAGCTAACTGAATATATCTACTAACAAAAATGTTGCTCAAGGTGAATAGACGCAGATGGAAAGCGATAATGTGAAAGTGTAACAAAGATAGATATATTATATGTCAGTACGCTTCTATATCAATCTCACTTCTATCAGTACACCCATTATATGGTAGTACGCTTCTATGTCTATCTCGGTTCGATCACCTTGCGCAAGCTATCTCTCTCGTTGGCTCAATCCATATTATATATAATCAAAGATTATTACTTATTCTTTCGTTATAAATTCATTCTTTACATCTATCAAAATGGATAATAGAATAGAATTATTATTAGTAGAATTTATTGAACACGCTGAAGATGTTTTTTGCCATGATCGTGCACCAAGGTAAGTAAATAACATAATTTATATACACATAAATAGCTAATACACATCATAAATTCGTTATTAGAATAATTTTAAGAGATGTCGGAAATCCTTTGGAGTCCTACCGCCAAAAAGAGTTGATACAACGTTTTCGGTTTGGTCGTGACATAATCCAAAATATATTATTACCATTGGTTTACCTAAGAGACATTGCTACAACAAATCGTGGCTTGCCAATTCCACCCATCATAAAACTTTGTACCGCTCTTCGGTTTTATGCAAGTGGAAGTTATCAGGTAATTATAAAAGACATCTTTTATAATTATAGTATAAAGGTAGAGGACAAGTTTAGCATATTATTACATCTTGTACTTACAGAGGATATGTGGGGATTTAGCGCACATCAGCCAGACATCCACTTGCCGAATAATAAATGAGGTGTCGGAATTACTGGCAAGAAATATTGGAAAATATGTGAATTTTCCAAGCAGTGAAGCCGAAAAAACCAACCTACGACGAAAATTTTTCGAAATTGGAGGTTTTCCTGGAGTTGTAGGGTGTGTTGACGGGACTCACATAGAAATTAAAAGTCCGGGAGGTGCCAATGCCGAAATATTTAGAAACAGGAAGGGATTTATGTCCTTAAATGTTCAGGTCGTGGCTGGACCAACTTTGAAAATCTTTGATATTGTTATAAGATGGCCTGGGTCTGCACACGATAGCAGGATATTTAATAGCAGCGCTGTGGCTATGAAATTTGAATCGAAGCTATTAACTGGAATATTGTTGGGCGACAGTGCCTACCAGCAAAATCAATTTTTATATTCTCCCATTTTAANTTCCAAAAACGGAACGGAACGGAAAATACTTACTTTTTACGGCGATCCATATTTTGAAAGAAACTTTCGGTTTTTATACTTGTTTTTTACAAATGTCGATGCGAAACGTACAACGTCAAATATTGAATTTGACAGCTAACAATCCCGGTAGTACCAACGTATAAGAACAAATAATGAACATTCTCGAAAATATGTTAAAAATATTAATAAGTTAACCGTTCCAATAATGGAACATTGGGAAGATATGGGTTAGAGTGAGCGGTTGTAGAAGTCATCAATCGCTTCATCAATCACAGTTTGATGGTACAGAAGAAAAGGAGAATACATTGAACTCTTGGACACCAAAAATAATCTGAGAAAACACAAAAGCAATGTTTTGCAACTACCAAAAAAAATCTGTGGCGCACAGCCCAATATTAGAGCCTTGACCTACTCTTAGAGCTTTCGTAACAGTGTCAAACGGGACGCACCAAGTGCAGTAGCACAGTATAAAGTAAATTACTATATAATGTTATTGACTCTATCTGTAGCAATTGTCCCCTTTTTCGACCGTGTGATCGTTAATCAGCACGGCAACCCCCTTCAAGGAGGAAAGGTACCACCCTAAACGACACCAGAGATTTTCGACTGGTGCCGGGACCGACGGCTTAACGTCCCCTCCGAAGGACGGTGGGAGTGTGGGCTTTTCGGAAAAATGCTTGTACCGGGTTTCGAACCCAGATCACCTGTGCGACAGCCGTATGACTTGCCACTAGGCTATCACGCCTCCCACCGTTCAAATCATTGTTACGAATATCTATAGACTACTATCGATTAGATAAAGTTAGCAATCACTTTATCTAAAGGTGATGAGAGTTATATTTAATAAAATGATTCAAATAAATGTATCGTTCGCTATAGTGTCTTTATTTTATTGATCTACAAAACTAATCTTTTAAAATTTTTTTTTCAGTTCCATGTTATAATAGCTTATGCTGTCAACAAATTGGTAGACCTATTATGATCAATAAGAGTTTCGAGATGTAACAGCTCGTGCTGCCAATAAGTTTGATACTGTTAATGGAAGATTACATATCAAAAAAACTAGATTAGATACTGTTAATGGATGACTTGACGCTTCTAATAGAAGACTAGATGCTGCCGACAGAAGACCAAATACTGATGGCAGAAGACTTGATACTATTTGCAGAAAACTAAACACTGTTAATTTAAGACCAGATATTGCTAGCAAAAAAACTTTGTACTAGTTGTCAAATGCTAGACATTGTTAATTCAAAACCAGATGCTCCCGGCAGAAATCTTGATTATTATTTACTATTAATTCATCAAATTTTTCATATTATTGCATTTTTCTCGATATTTAGGCACCTGAGAGCAAAAGTGACACAGATCAATATTGCTAAGAATAAAATTAGCTACAACTTTCGTTCTAAAAGTTTTTTTATAACTTGCTCTGTTTTCCGAATGTTACCATTAACTTGAAAAAGCAACGAATTCATCCAATTTTCATATTTTCGTATTTTTCTTAATGTTTATGCATTTAAGAGCAAAAGTGAAAGAGAGCAATATTGCTAAGAATAAAATTAGCTACATCTTTCGTTCTAAAAGTTTTTTTATAACACGCTCTGTTTTCCGAATGTTAACATTAACTTGAAAAAGCAACAAATTCATCCAATTTTCATATCTTTGGATTTTTCTCGATATTTATGCATCTGACACCAAAAGTGAAAGACATTAACATTGCTAAGAATAAAATTAGCTTCAACTTTCGTTTCAAAAGTGTTTTTATAACATGCTCTGTTTCCCGAGTGTTACATCAACAAGTTGAAAAAGCAACAAATCCATCCAATTTTCATATTTCCGCATTTTTCTCAATATTTGGTAGATACAACCAAATATTGGTAGAAATACAAATTGGTAGACCTATTATGATCAATAAGAGTTCGGAGAAGTAACAGCTCATGCTGCCAACAAGTTGGCAGACCTATTATGATGAATAAGAGTTTGAAGATGTAATAACTTATGCTGCCAACAATAAATAAAGAATAAATCCCAAAAATCCGTAAAAATCTCTGACAGTTCTCTTAAATCATTCATCTTATTGCTGAAAAATCTGAATACTCTCAAAATATGTTTGGTAATATTCTAGAAAATCTTGAAAATTCGTTGAAAAACCTTACAAAAATCTTAAAATTCCTCGAAATCGTATTAAGGTTTTTCATGACATTTTAGTGCCGTCAGGGAATGATTGGAAAACTTGTGATAAACCTTGAAAATATATGAGAACCGGTAGGAATTTGAAACATTGCTGGAAAATCCTGGAATGGAATGTCGAAAATCTATGAGTTCGTCAAAACCTTAGAAAACCATAAAATTAAAACTGAAAGTTGAAAAAAACAAATCGTGGAAAGTCCCCAGAACCTATGTTTGGAAACATGGTTTGGAAAGTTTGGAAGTCTTCTAAGCAAGTATCTCGGCAAGCTTCTGAAAGATCTTACAAATACTCCACAAATCGTTGAAAAATTAAATACCTCTCCAATAATACCTAGAAATCACAGAAAATACTTGAAAATCTTTTAAAATTCAAAAAACTTTTCCAAAATCTTAAGTATTGATGCTTTTATATAACAAAAAAATCTGAAAATTCTTCCGAAAATTTAATAAATATGATTGGCAGTTTTCTGTAAATTTTAGGAAATACTTTAAATTTTTTTTGAAATCGATAGAAATGCTTTAAATTCTTCGATTCAATTTAGAAGAGAAATTCCTTTATATGAAAACTCCATATTTCAAGCAGTATTCGGAAATCCTCGAAAATCATTCAGTGAATCATCTAAAATCGATGACTGATTAAAAGATGCTTCCATACAAAACGCAGTAATCATTGATCACTCTTGGAAATCCTTGAAAGCTTATGAAAATTTTTAGACTATGGTGAAAAGTTTTCTGTAAATGTTTGGAAAATCTTGTGGCAAACCAATTCTAGGAATCCTTAGAAGAAGAAGCTATTTAATTCTATGAAATATTCTATGCCATGTAAAAAATTCTTTATAAATCAATGTAAATTTTTTCAAATCGTTGAATATTATTCATAAATATAGAAAATATAAAGGATAAGATTAGAAATCTACCAGAAAATCTGTTGGAAAGCCATTGAAGTCTTCTAAAACATCTTAGAAATTGTCTAAATAATATTAGAAAGCTTCTGGAAAATCTTGAAAATCCTCTAGAAATACTTAAGAATTCAACTACATCCATGAAATCTAGAAATTCATAGAAATGCTCCACATAAAACTACTAGAAATCATTGTATCTAATTAAATCTTAGAAAACCTTAGATATTTCTGAATAAACTTGGAACTCAAAAGACTCTTAAAAATCTCTAAATGTTCTGGAGATATGTGGAAATTATTATGCATATTATGCCAACAACTTGGCAGCCCCTAATAACGACTAACAGTTCTATGAGCTAATAGCCCATGCTGCCAACAAGTTGGCAGAACTATTATGATAAATAAGAGTTTGAGATGTAATAGCTCATGCTGCCAACAAGTTTGATACTGTTAATGGAAGATTACATACCAAAAAATTAATTAGTTAATGGATGACTTGACGCTTCTAATAGAAGACTAGATACTACTGGCAGAAGACCAAATACTGGTGGCAGAAGACATGATACTATTTGCAGAAAACTAAACACTGTTAATTTAAGACCAGATACTGCTAGCAAAAAACCTTGTACTAGCTGTCAAATGCTAGACATTGTTAATTCAAAACCAGATGCTGCCGGCAGAAATCTTGATTATTATTTACTATTAATTCATAAAATTTTCATATTATTGCATTTTTCGCGATATTTAGGCACCTGAGAGCAAAAGTGACAGAGATCAATATTGCTAAGAATAAAATTAGCAACAACTTTAGTTAAAAAGTTTTTTTATAACATGCTCTGTTTTCCAAGTGTTACCATTAGCAACTTGAGAAAGCAACAAATTCATCCAATTTTCATATTTTTGCATTTTTCTCTATATTTAGGCATCTGAGAGCAAAAATTAAAGAGATCAATATTGCTAAGAATAAAATTAGCTTCAACCTTCGTTCCAAAAGTTTTTTTATAACATGCTCTGTTTCCCAAATGTTACCATTAATAACTGGAAAATGAAACAAATTTATCAAATCTTCATATTCTTGCATTTTTCTGGAAATTTAGGTATCTAAGAGCAATATTGCTAAGAATAAAATTAGCTACAACTTTAGTTCCAAAAGTTCTTTTATAACATGCTCTGTTTTCCGAATATCACCATTAACTTGAAAAAGTAACAAATTCATCCAATTTTCATATTTTTCTCAATATTTATGCATTTAAGAGCAAAAGTGAAAGAGAGCAATATTGTTAGAAATAAAATTAGCTACAACTATTGTTCAAAAAGTTTTTTAATAACATGCTCTGTTTTCCGAATGTTACCATTAACTTGAAAAAGCAACAAATTCATCCAATTTTCATATTATCGTATTTTTCTCAATATTTATGCATCTAAGAGTAAAAGTGAAAGAGAGCAATACTGCTAAAAATAAAATTAGCTACAACTTTCATTCCAAAAGTTTTTTTATAACATGCTCTGTTTCCCGAGTGCTACCATGAACTACTTGAAAAAGAAACAAATTTATCCAATTTTCATATTCTTGTATTTTTCTGGAAATTTAGTTATCTAAGAGCAAAAGTGAGAGAGAGCAATATTGCTAAGAATAAAATTAGCTGCACCTTTCGTTTCAAAAGTTTTTTCATAACATGCTCTGTTTTCCGAATGCTACCATGAATTACTTGAAAAAGGAAGAAATTTATCCAATTTTCATATTTTTACATTTTTCTTAATATTTAGCCATCTAAGAGCAAAAGGGAAACCGAGCAATATTGTTAAGAATAAAATTAGCTACAACTTTAGTTCCAAAAGTTTTTTTAAAACATGCTCTGTTTTCCGAATTTTACCATTAACTTGAAAAAACAACAAATTCATCCAATTTTCATATTTTCGCATTTTTCTCAATATTTATGCATCTAAGAGCAAAAGTAAAAAAGAGCAATATTGCTAAGAATAAAATTAGCTACAAGTTTCGTTCCAAAAGTTTTTTTATAACATG